GACGCCGCGCCGCCGCCCTCACCCTGCCGCGGCCGCCGCGGCTGCCGCTGCCGCTGCCGTTGCTGCGCTCGTCGTCGGCGGCGACGCCGCATTTGCCTTTGGCCTGCCCAAAGTCCAGCTCCCTTCGCTCCCCTCTCTCCCCTCTCTCCCCTCTCTCCCCGATAGTTCGCCCAAGGACGCGTCCAAGGACCTCGACGCCGCTGAAGAGGGAAAAGTTGACGACCTCCTAGACCGCCTCGAGGCCAAGAGAAAGGCCCGCAAGGAGAAGCAGGCAGGCACCTCGTCGGCAGCCCCTGTGAAAGACATCGCAAAGGAGGCTGTCGACAGTGTCGTCGGAGGAGAGTAGTGTCGTCGGAGGAGAGTAGTGCCGACACGCTTACGCTCCGTCGGGAGAGACTGCGTTTTTGTTGTAACCCTATTCTTTGGTCGTGTGTCGTCTGTAGACGGAACGCTTCTTGTTGATCTTGCTTATCTCCACAGAGCCGGCTACACTACGTAAACTACTTTCATTATCAGCCGCCCTGATGCCGTTACAATTGCGCAAGCGTTTCTCTCTCGTCTCTTCTCTGGGCGGTTTATTACCTTAATGATATTCATCTTGTGCTGTTTTGTGCACGTCTCTTCCGTGTTCACCGGGGTTTTTTTAGCCCATCTGAATTTCGAGACACACTTCATTCAATCTGCCAATCCCATTCACTTTTTACAGCAATGCAAAAAAACTTCTAATTCCAACATGTTCGTTATCTGTTTCCATTCCCACGTGTTCACGTGTACAACACACTTTCACAGTCCATGTGACTTCTATTCGACTCATACTACACCAATCGCTCCAATGCATGAGACAAACCTTTTTTTCTTTTCTCCTCACCTTTTCCCATACCGAAAATGTCCTCCGATCCCAAAGTCCGTACCTCTCTCACCGGCGAGTCGCTGGCCCCCGTCTCCGAGCTGCAGGAGTACGGCGCAAACATAATCGCCGAGTTAGACCGCGCAGAAGCCGAGCTGGATGCCTCTGAAAACCAACCCTTCTCGGGTATAGGCGCCGACGTTATGCGCGACATTGCGTCGTTGCGGGAGCGGCAGTTTGACATGTTCCGCAGACATGTCGAAATCGAACAGAGCTACAAGATTGAGAACGCTGTCGCAGAGGGAAATGATGTCCAGCGCATGAGCTTTAGTGGTATCGCAAAGACAATGCGTAAGAAAGGCACCGCCACTGCGGGCTTGCTCGATAAATTGGCAGAGTTTGATCTCCAGCTCAGGACCGTTATTGATAAGATTGACAAGCCCGTCCCGGTGAAGAGGGAAGGGGGAAGTCAGTATGCGGGCAGTGGTAGCAGAAGGGACGAGGGGGGCACAGAAGAGGTCGCCACAGAAGGCCAGCCGGGTATGCATCGTGATGATAACGAAGCTCCCAACTCTGATGCTTGATCGCGCCCATCAGTCTCTTTGATACAAACGCCTGGACATTTTATTTGCAGAGTGGCGTCCGCCCAAGCCAGGTTGCAGCGTGCGGAAAACGAGCAAAAGTCAAATATCTACATGGCTAGTTAGCCACGCACCTACACACTCGGTTGGGCCCATTCGTCGTCAAATACCAATTGTCTTAACCGATGCGCTCACCTCATTGCCCGGGGAAGACACGCCCAGCCCCGTGAATCTGTACAAGTCTCTCCGCTGCTGGCGTCGTCTGCCTCCCATGATTTCCCTTCACAGCTCTCTTACGAGGGAACACACCTACAAGGCCCTTGCCGAGGAAGACAACAATGGGGATCCGCTTCTCTCTCGAAAATCTCGAAACGTATTCCACGAGGATGCGTGCAGACGCGATTACGTCGGGGAAGATGCGGTTGTGCAATCTCCCAGAAGCGCGCCGTAGCTCGACGGACAATTCATCATCCTCCAGATGACGTGCTAACACCTTCATGTGAATCGCAGGTGTGAACATGAGAATCGCGCTCGGGACAAGTTTTCGCAGCCCAAAGACAGAGTCGCTGGAATCCACCAAGTCGGCGTAGGAGAACATAAATACAGGTACATAAGCACCCAAGTCTCGTTTGGGCTCATCCTTGTCATTAGACATCGGCTGTAGAACCATGGCGGCTTCTTTCAAATCCCCCGTCGTCGCACTTCCAAGCCCCGGCACTTTGAGGAAATCCATATGTGGATAGTTACGCTTTCCAATATTGGCCGAAATCCTTAATCCGAACAACCTCACTGCCTTTCGCGATTGCGATAATGGTGATGAGAGAGGCCCGGTAGGACGCGGTACCGCATTTACGGCCGTCGGGTCACTAAACCCTCCGAGTCCCAGAAATGCAATTATGTTCGCGGGACTCATGTGATTCAGGCGCAAAAGCCCTTGGAAGGCCAATTGTTGTCGTCGAGCCTCTTCAGTGCGCTCTAAGTCGATTACTTCGCGCCGTGAAGGTCCAAAGCTAATGAAACGCACAATTTTCCGTGATGCAGCAATGACAGGATCTTCAATGCTGCCAAGGCTGCTCTGTGACTGCGACGCTGCCCCGTCCTGAAGTCCACGGATCATATCCAGCAGACAGTGAGAGCGGATGACGACGTGATCAAAGAACAGTTCCCATGGCAGAATTTGCAATGTAAGGTCCGCAATGAGAACAATAGGACGACTTCTTGATTTCTGTGCGGGAGATGAGGAACTTAGTAGTGATCTGGGGGCTCGCAGTACTCGATTGGCTAAACCGTTGACGATCTCAGAGTCTCTGTTCTTGTGCCATACTTCGTCCCTCTTGTAGCCTTTTACGAGATCTGACAGATACATCCGCTCTGCTTTCGTAGGGGAGCGCAGCGTTTGGATGCCATTCACCATTTCCTCAAAGCCTTGCTTCCCTCCAAAGGCAACACTCTCGATACTCCCACCCCGATCCACGGCATAATATCCCACAACACCATGCGCATATAAAATATACACAAGGCGTCTGCCGATCGACTCTGGAATAGTCCATTCCTTCCGAGAGACCGGGATGCAATGCACCCAGCTCAAAAGAGCATCGTTGTTTCGCTCTCGTAATTGCTCCAGATTAATTTCCCCGTGCATATAACTACTCGTTTCTGTGTTGATGCGATGCATGTGAGACCAGACACGCTCTGCTGTACTGTGTCCAAAGATAGGCGAGGAACCATTTGTTTGGGTACGCCCGCTTTCCAATTCATCTTGAATACAACTCAACAATTCAGCCAGTTCATGCCTTCGTACTTTCTTCGTAGACCTATTTCGTTCATGAGCACTAATTCTTGGAAGCGGTACAAAAGAGTCATCTCTTTTCTCATCTGGTAGCGGGCCTTTAGTTGACTGGCGTGGATCAGTGTCGACTGGGCCTTCTTGCCGTTTACCGACATCTTTAAGGTCCTCTCGAGCATTTGCTCTCGTTGCGTCTTGTGACTGAGTGATGTTTATATCTGCTCCTACGCTTGAGGCACCCATATCCCCATTCCTTTCTGGATCTGAAGCTGGGTCCGGATCCGATAGCTCTGAGTCATTCAACTCTATCCTCTCATCAATTTTTCCTTTCGAGTCATCAAGGATTTGCATCGCACCAAGCCCCAGATGCGGTTTGAACGGGAAGATCATTTCTGCATCTCTTCCAAGCTCGTGACCAGGTGCTGCCTTAGAGTTTGAGAAAAAGTTAGACGGAATCAGAACAGCTCCTGTGCCTTTGACAGCACTAATGACTTGTTGCCGCGGTCGATTTATGAAAACGCTCAGCCCTTGACGGCCTAGCGCCACCCCCTCGTCACCAAGAATGTGCAAAAATGCCCCGGCCGGACGCCGATGTCCGGATTTATGTGAGTCGGTCTCTGATAGACTGTCTGATACAACGTCTTTAGCAGAACTGCCTCTCTTCCGTTCTAGAGCCTGGTGATCGCGTGAAAGTTTTAGCCGCAGAAGACTGGCAGTGCGAATCCCAATTTTCTTGTCCGGCCTCCCAGGCAGCATTGACGGAGAGCTTGATACAACTGAAGGCCGTGGTTGGTCCCTATCCTCCGCGTCAAGTTCATTCACTTCGTCAACAGACGAAGCGGAATCCGATCCGATTTTGTGCGCCCTAGATGACAGGTTCATCTTCCTATCTATAGCTATTTGAAGTGTTACGTAAGCTTCAAAGAGGCGCAAATGTTTGTTCATGTCTGCAATTTTCCCATGGTGACTCTCACACATCGTGAGTCTCACAAGGCGGCCACAGACGTTGCGGAGGTGAAACAAAGTTGATACCGGGGCTAGTTCTTCAAGAACAACAGTAAAATTCTCTGCGTCGGTAAACAAGCGAGAGAAAAGCTTCCATGCTTCTGAGACCCATAACATCCAAGCTGAAGAAGACTGCTTTTGAATGCATTTGACTTCTGCAAGCGCCGCCATTGAGTCAATCAGAAGGACTGGGATATTTGCAGTTGATGCAAGGTTGATAACACTATATACGACATCGACAATTTCTTCGACGACAATGCGACGATTGAGAATGGTACACGCAGTTTCTAGAGAAATGCCTCCACCACAAACATCCTTGAGAACAACCTTTCGAAACAAGAAATCAATTGACGTGCGAGCCCAGAGTAGATCCGCCTTTGCGGTACTAACTTCGTCCCCAGACGCATCAAAATATCTGCTCGCAGTTTCAAATGCAATCAACGTGAGCTCTGTCACTTGCAAGACCAGCTTTTGGCTCTCGACCGGTCCTTTTTCCAGTTCATTCTCTCCTTGTAATGGGGCACTTGCGTTTGACGACATGGCCCCCAACGCTTTCCCTCGCAAATAATGCAGACGTCCGAGATCCCAGAAAGAATGTTCTTCACAGGCTTCAATGGATTTATCTGCCAGATACAGCGCTTCACTCAAACGCCCCCCATGAATCAAAGCAGAGAGACGAAGGAATGTGGCAAGAGGACAAAACACTGATGAGATGTAGACTTTCTTAGTCTCATGGCTCTGATCGTGAATTCTGAATTTTGAAACACGTTGATTCTCTTTCATGGGCCCCGGCTGCGAGTCTTCTGGGAAATCACGGAAAGCTTTCGCGAGAGCATACTCATGCTCCATTTGGTCTACAAACTCCAGGCATCTCGTTATTTCTCTTCTCATTAATCGAATTCGGGCAAGGATCTCCAATACTTTGAAACGACTGGCGTGTGGGATCCGCATTTCGAGCAGACCGCGACATCTTGACTGTGCTTTGTTGAAATCTGCTTTCGCGAACTCGGTCCTTGCTCGCAAAAGCTCTACCTGAAAACGATTCGAATCGGCAGCTATCTCTTGTTCTGCCTCAATGCGAAGCAATTCTCTCTGCTCTTCTTCAAACTCTCCCTTGTCTGCCTGAATGGAAGTTGATACAACGGCTTTGTGTCCCTTGGAATAGATCTTCGAAGGCAGCTGACGTGAGGATTTGCTGTCGTCTTCTGGCACTAGAGCTGCGTCAGACCTTTGATTCCCTTTGACAGTAGTCTCGCCTTGGGGAGGCGACGATCGGCGAGCATTGCCTGACGACCCCCACAGACCAGTCAAGAGTTTCTTGAGAATACCCTGGCTACGTCCCCCACTTGGCAACGGTACCATGACCGTGGATGACCGAGGTCTCATTTCAAACATAGATGTAGATTGCCGAATGGTATTGTCGATTGAGTTAACTACTGGAACTTCAAAGAAGGAAGCAAGCGAATTCTTCCCTCTCGGAAAAACCGATCCGCCAGGCAAGAGCTTGGGCAAGGGCGACCCGGGAATCCTTCTCCGAATTCGGTTCCTGGCCTTCTTGGCTAATCTTCTACGGTAGCGTTGCAGCAAGAGACGCAACCTTTCTTCATAAATAAGTGCGGAATATGCCCGCAGTGGCACGATGCTTGCATCGATGCAGCCAACATCGAGGCAAGCGCTGTGAAGCTTTAAGCAAAGCTGCAGGAACTCGTTTCGTTGTCCATTCTTGGGGTGTGTTATGTTGCGAAGGCTGTACAATAAAACGAACGCTCGCCTCCAATCGCTGTTTTCTCCGGCTACTTCGATGACCCTCATCACTGCTGATGTGTAAGACTGTTTGTTCTTTGTTCGTACCTTCCTTGAGTCTGTGGAGGCCTCTAAGGCGGCAATACCATATCGATACTTTGAATGTGAGAGTGCCAGGGTACCATAGGAGTGAAGGAGGGCCTCTGCCAGAGGCGACGAAACGATGGCCACCGGGGAGACGAAGAGCAGTCTGGAATAGAACGAGTGAGGGTAAGCTTGGCTCGGTGCAACTGCATGGATTGATTGTAATCCATCAAATAGAAAGCGTTCTGCACGGCCATAGTCACCCTGGTCAATTCTGCTATGTTGAGCTAAAGCAAAGGAAACTTTAGCTCGGACCAGCCCGGCGGACGACGGCAAGGATAGCCACAGCGACTGCAGCTCTTGGAATAGCTCTGACGCGCTTACACGCCTTGTTTCGTCAACAAGGGTATCCGTGTCTACAGATTTTGAGTTCTTTCTGTCTGAAATATGAAGGAGTTCGGTTTCATCACTGAAGTCGATTGACGACCCATCGACAGGAGACAAGCCGCAGCCAGTCAAAAACAGCCCCGATGCTACGTCAGCGTGGATGAGTCGTTCAAACGAGTCTGCGTCAGATGACTCATCAAATCCGGCCTTCGTCCGCCAGTATAGAGCGTGCATAATGTCAACGACGGATTGCCGCAGCGCCGCAGGGATTTGTCCTCCGGTTTCTACAATTTCTGACTCTGAGACAATTTCACCCTGGAGATCTTGATGATGCTGTTTCAAGCGTTCTTGTTCGGCAGTAGCGCATCTATCAAACCAGAATCCTGCCACGACGGTCTTCAGGCCGCAATGAGCTCGGCTTTCGGCCTGTAGCAGTTCTACAGCTGCTTTCGCAGCAGGGGTCACTGTAGCCGCAGCTAAACCCAAAAACACAGAAGCGTGTGAAAACCAGGTAGCATCGCTCCCACTTTCGGAGATGACTTCTCTTGCAAGTCGAAGACAGTCCAACAAGCACGCAAGCATATCAAGCCTACGCCGGCGGTCCACCTCATCGTGAGCCGGTGACTTTTTTGAAAGCGTAGATATCCGTGAGAAAGAATGCAGCAGTAGCTGCCGAAGTTGTGACTGTTTCTCATGAGCGGAAATTTGCCCTCTCACGATCTTCCAAACCAACGTCAAAATCTCCATGCCATAAACTGGTGACAAAGCAGGTTTGTTACTTAGAAGGGCTGCAGTTTCATTGAACTCGACTGCAGCGTTTAGCTTGCAATCGGCAGATGGATACCACATGGAGGTCACAGGTAAGCCGATCTGAATCCTCGCTGACAGAACTGGGTCTTTGCTTCGAACAAACCTCCTCAGGAATGTTTCGTGCTCCCGTGGACCCATAAGGCGGCCATCAAATGATTGAGTTGGTTTCGGATACATCTGCTGCCTTGAGAGGGTACTTGCAGCTCCGTTAACTCGGCTAAGATATTGCCTTAACTCAGCTTCGATTAAATTCCCGAAGTTCAAGCCAGTGTTCCACCCAGACACTGCTTGCCCTCTCCTGCCTTCCTTGTTGGCGTCTCCATTTCCACCAACCCCTTTCTTTAAGCTAGAACCAGTTCGATCCGGAAAAGACGATCCAAATCTTTCCGGCGTCGGTGATAAAGGCGCCCCATTTCCCTCCGCCTCCGCCCCTCGACTGGAAGTTTCGTTCGACTGATCAATTTCCCAACATCGCTCAATTTTGATGTTGAGTTCTTTTTCAAGCTGAGTGTCCCAATCCTCAATTACGTCATCCGCCATATCGCCAAATTCACCGAGCCCGTAGTCGAATTGCGAGCCTGGAATTCGATTCGCGCTCGGAAGGTTGTTCGGGTCGCCCACAGCAGGATTGCTACTTTGTAAAATAGCTGTAGAAATACCATCGTATTGTTCTCGCAGCTCAACCGCCATCTCCTTGATTCTCAGTCTTATGTCCGACCCCGCTTTGTTAGCATCTTCATATCCAAATGAGGAGGCGACAAGACTAGTCAGAGCGGCTGTATCGGCTGCCGCCGCGAAGCATTTCATATCCCCCAGACAAAGAAGAATTGTCCACATTGCTAGGACAAGACGACGGGGAGAAAAAAGGCAATAACGCATGAATTCCGTGCCCAGCGTGGTGTCCTCTGCACGTGGTGGTGCGATCAAACCAATCATCCTAGTGATACCTTCCACTACGTATTCGGAGAAGAACTGTACTGCATCATCTAAATTCGCTCGATCATATGACAGTTCTGCCAAGAGAAATTTGCACTTCAATTGCCACCACAGCGCCCGCTGCTGCGGACCCGTCAATGATTTTGTTTCTTCTGGAATCAAAGCGAGAGCCGTGGTGTGTGCCATTGCCCTTTTCGCTGCCTTTTCTGAGTCTCCCAAAGCTCCTCGAGCTCTGCTCAGGACAGCAAGTTCATATTCAAGCTCTGTTCTGATAACCAGACTAACGCCTGTGTCTTCTATGTCAGCCGCAACCATGACAGCTTCCCTAACGAGTTGAGTCGCTTCCTTATAATTGCCCGCGTGTTTGCATATGTTTGATAAGCTGAGTAGGATTTTAGAGTGGTCCACAGAATTCTTCTGCTGTGTAGCCCATTCGAGTTTCCAGACGAGCACATCCACAGCCAAATCCTTGTTCAAATTTGATAATCTGTTCAAGTCTCGGTCAGATGACATGTGGTATATGGACCGCGTCTTCCTTTCCAAAGCACTTGTGCCCCCGCTATCCCGAACGAGAGCATCAAAGTGACGGCGGATTGTTGCATCATACCGGGAAAATAGCTCCTTTACCCGAGTACAGCTCGGGTGAACTGTAGAGGTTTGATAGCCAACCCCTGGATACGACAGTAGCGACGAATGACTCAAGGAAGGCGTTGCAAAAGCTGTGGGAGGCACGCTTCGTAATCCTAAAGAATCGTCGCTGTCAGAAAGAATTTCCGCAGTTGATAATTGATATTGGTGCCTCATGGGTGAAATGGGAGAAGGAGCTTGCGACATCTCCACCTTAAATTCAAACTCATTCTTCTTCGGATCTTTTTCAATATACCAAGACGGAAACCCGGACGGGACGTCGTCAGCAGCAGGACTTTCACTCGATGCATCAAACTTTGAGCTTGATTGCTCAAGATCAAAGTCGTCCCCCCAGTCTACCTCCTCAGCGGCTGGGTCAGCGTACAGACCGATCATATTCATCCTCGTAAGGTCTGAGCTGACCAGCTTTGCTTGATGGTCGACATTTTCATCAAACGCACGTAATGTAATGATGTCTCGATGCGAAGTGTTCTTGCTACTCCCGCCAGACCGCACACTTGCCCCTCGAATACGCTCCTGCTGCGCACCAGACTTTGAAGTACTCCCAAAACTTTCATTTGCCGGTACATTTTGCCGTATGGAAAGCGTGTCGGCACCTTCTTCCAAGTCTGACAGCTCATCAATCCCCCAGTCATCTACGCTGGTATCGTCATGGACCGCGACTGTGGCGTCTGTGCTTGTAATGCGCTGCGAAGCTGTTTTCACCGAGCTTTGGCCGCTCGCCTGCGGCGTCGTCGCACCAACATGTGCCTCTGACATGTGCGGCAGCTCATGCGCAGCCACATCTTCTTTGCGGACTACATTGGTGGACGACGTACGTGATAAATGCAGGGCCACAGACGAGCCCGACTCGTGCGAGCTTCTCCGCGACGTATTCCTAGGCACGCGGGCAGGCGTTTCTGGCGGGTGGGCCCTCGACAAGCGGATTCTCGAGGTGCGATCAGGGGTATGCCTGGGACGCTTGGAGGGCGGGCGAGGCGACGTGGAAGGGATTGTGGGTGGCTTTCGCGAGGGAGGGGTCTCTGTAGAAGCCAGAGCGTCCGAGGTGGCGGTGGACGGCAGTGAGACCTTCTGGAAGAAGCGGAAGGTGCGCGAGGGCGTGAACTTGGAGGTCAGACGCTGGGACGCGGGGGTCGAGGTGGCCGACGGTGGCGGCGGTGGAGAGGGAGGTGAGGGGGAATGGGGGGGAGCAGTGTCATCTTGGTCGGAAGTGGATACGGCCGAGTGGAAGGAGTCTTGTGAGGATGACCGCCGAGATGCGACCGTATCACGGGTGGATTCAAGCGGCATGCCCCCGCGATTGGCGTGCAGATGAGGATGACGAGAGGAGGAAAGAAGCGGCGATGCGGAGGAGGAGGATCTGGAGGAAGAGTGTGGAGCGAGAGCGCCGGGTGCGGGCTGAAGTAGATGTTAGAACCCAGATGAAGGCTCAGCACAGAGACACATGATGAGAAGGCCCACATGCCTTCACACAAAATAGCCCTTTTCGATACACGTGCAACGAAGGACAAGTCCCCAAGCGTACACGTGTCACCTCAATTCTTTTGGTCGAGTCCGTCGGCGGTGGCGGAGAAACAGAGATCTTTCCTCCCCCACGCAGATCCCAAGCGAAGCCCCCGAAACGCTCCCCGCACACTCGCTCCTCTCCACACGCCAACTATGCCTGCCCCCCCCCAAACCCTGCGCCATTTGCTGGGGGCTCCATATCGAGGTGGGGGTCTATCCTTCTCCACCTGCGGCACGTCTCTCTTCGTCTCGCTAGGCGGGCGGGTACAGCGGCTGGATCTCACGGCCGGGCGCGCGCGCACGCTCCCCTTCGAAGCCACGCGCGACCTACACACCATCTCTCTATCGCCTCGTGGGGACGTACTCCTGGCCGTCGATTCGCTTGCACGCGCTACGTTGCTCGCTCTCCCGTCGGGACGCGTTGCGGCCCGCCTCTCGCTCCGCCTCCCGCAAGTTACAGCCGCGAGCGTGTCGCCATGCGCGACTATGGTTGCAATCTCAGGGCCGGACGCCGTCGAGGTGTGGCGCGTGCCGGATAGTCCGGTGCCGGCGTATGCCGCTTTTGACCGCGTTGCTAGGTTTAACAGGGGGGCAGCTGCCAAGGGGGCGCTATGCTGGAGCGCTGATTCGAAGCATGTCGCGGTGGGTTCGAGGGATGGCGTGGCGACCGTGTTTACCATTCCTGATCACGCTGCGCCTGGTGTGCGAGTGCGCCCGCTGGTGCTATACGGCCATCGGGAGGCCGTGGTGTTCGTCAGGTTTTGCGGGAAGAGGGGGCTGGTCACCATGTCATCGGATGGCGTGCTGTTCTGTTGGCGTCTACGGGAGAACAGCGCGTCTGTGGAAGAGGGTTCGCATGCTGATGGTCAGACGCGTGTCGTTGTGCCGCTCGGGGCCAAGCTCATGAGCAAGCACTTTGTGAGGCAAGGCGGGGCGAGCCGAGCGAAATGCGCAGCTCTTCATCAACAGATTTTGACCGTTGGTATGTCAAATGGCGTGTTCGCATTGTATCAGCTGCCGGAGGAAATGGCGGGGCAGGAATCGGAGGCGTTTGATGCAGGTCTGTTTGAAATTGGAGAAATGCGCAAGCGAAAGCGGGCACGGGAGGGCATGAATGCAGCCGATGTAAGCAAGAAAGCCGGGGAAGAAGATGGGAGCGAGGATGAAGAAGAAGATGATATCCTGGACGAGACCGTTCCACGCATTGGTTTTACAGACTTGACTCTCCTGCACACTCTCAGTGCTTCCGGAAATGCGATCACGGACATTGAATTCAATCCGACTGGGGAGTGGATTGCCCTCGCATCCTCTCAATCTGGGCAAATCGTTATCTGGGAATGGCGCTCAGAGACCCACATTCTGAAACAACAGTCTCACGTTCTGGCGGCAAATGCCGCCGCTTTCAGTCCAGATGGTCGAGCGATTGCAACTGGTTCCAGGGATGGACGTGTCAAGCTGTGGGGCGTTGCCACGGGCTTTTGTGTCGCTACATTTACAGAACACGAGGCGTCTGTTTCCGCAGTAGCATTTGCCGCTAAAGATGTCATCGTGACAGCATCTCTGGATGGAACTGTACGAGCGTTTGACATTCGCAGGTACAGGAACTTTCGGGTCATGGTCGGACCTCCGCCGCGGCGGCAGTTTGGGTGTGTCGCCGTGGATGCGGCGGGTGACTTGATTGCGGCCGGTTGCATTGACACATTCGAAGTCATTGTGTGGTCTTTGCGCACTGGCCAGGTTCTGGAAGTTTTGAGTGGACACAAGGGACCCGTGAGCGGTATTGCGTTCAGGCCGCGAAGAGGTACGTTAGCAACCTCATCCTGGGATCGAACAGTACGCCTATGGGACATGTATGAGCGCAAGGGCAACAGCGAAACTCTAGAACACAGCAAGGAGGTACTTGCCGTTTGCTTCCGGCCAGATGGAAAGGAGTTTGCTGCCTGCACAGCCTCTGGGGAAATTGTTCTTTGGGATTCTGAAAGGGGGACGATCACGGGTACAATCGATGGCTCTCGAGATGCAGCCAGTGGTAGATTACGGGAATCCCGAACAGCAGCGCCACTGAGAGGACATTTCCAAACGCTTTCATACTCTGCTGATGGTCGATTTCTTCTTGCTGGTGCGTCATCTAAGCACGTTTGCATGTACCATGTACCTGAAGGGAGCCGTCCGACTCTGGTCAACAAGGTTGTGGTGACGGAAAATCAGGCCTTTGATGGGCTTCTAGACCGTCTTAATTCCAAGAACCTTACGATAAGTGGACACGCAATGGACACAATTGCTGACGACGATGTTGAGGCAGAAGACTATGGCGAGGCGCGACTTGCAGAACGCAACTCGCTACCAGGTGCGGCTTCTGAACTGAAGTTGAGGCGGAAAAAGCTTCTCAAGGCAGAGGTGAAATGCGTGCACGCGTGTCCGACCGGACGGCTGTGGTCTGCTGTCACAACAGAAGGGGTGATTGTGTACAGCGATGCGTCAGGCAATGGTACAGATGGGGTGAACGATAGCTTATTTGACCCGACCAATTTGGAAGTGGATATCACTCCCGAAGCCGCCGAAAAGGCGGCGCGGCGACGCGACTATGTAGCTGCTCTCACGATCGCGCTGCGCCTCAACGAAAAGGATTGTCTCAATGCCGTGGTAGAGAAGATCCCAGCAGAGGATATCAACCTGGTCGTGGATCGAGTCTCCTCGGTCTACTTCAGCCGGCTGATCCTGCTGTTCGCCTGGCGGCTAGACAACACTCCCCATCTCGAGTTTAACCTTCGATGGGCGAAGCGGCTGCTCATGGCACAGGGAGCAGATGCGCACAATCACGTATCAGACCCTGCAGTCGTGAACACGGCGTTACGGGCCCTGCAAAGAGCTTGCGCGGCACATTCAAAGCGCATCATGCCGCTCGCAGATCGAAATGAGCACATGCTCAAGTATCTCGTAACAACTGCGAAAAGGAAGAAAGCGACGGAGGTGTCATAAGGAGAGGGGAACTTTGTTGTCGACATGCTTCTGAGAGCAGCACCGATGTTAGCTGTTGTGCCCGTCCCTTTGCAAGATCGCAGTTTGGTTGCGCGGAGAGAAGGGAAAGAGCCCATTCGCGGTGATAGCGAGGTGCCTGGTGACCTTGTACAGAGAAGCAGCCATGCGACGCGGAACGCGAAGCAGGAGCTGGTTGCCTCGGGCCCACGAATAAAAATGCAATACGCAAAAACAGTGAATAAAAACAAGAGGAGAAGTACAAAGCCCTTCTCCCCGGTACATGCTAGCAAAAACCAGATCCACACTCCTGCACTAGAAGAGGATATCCCCACCTTACCTCCATGGCTCGACAACAGTTCCCATCCGGCCTCCCCGCAACCCGTCCCCCGGCGCCCACTGCCCCTTCTCCAATCAGCACCCCAAGCGTCCCCTTTGCTGAGCTTTTCGCACACCCATCCCCGCAAAGGATGCACACCCGCACCTTGTTCCGTGCCACGGGACAGCGGACGGCTCCAAGGATGCGCCAGAGAGCGTGCGAATGAGAGTGTTGAGGAGTATGCGCCGTGTCTCCAGAGTGTGGACGGCGAGCGTTCTGGCGGAACAAGCATGAGCACCATGGGTTGCTGTCGTAAACTTTAGGCCTTAAGACTCGAGCCGGGGTGTTGCGCTGATCGCAATGCGCTCTCTGGGAAGATGGGCCCTTCCGGTTGCTCTAAAAACATCGATTCACATGCGAAGCAGGCAGCTGATGAGCTGATTGGTCGGCACGGACCGACCAACCAGCTATCCATCGATGCAACTCGGCGACCCAGAGCTCTGTAAAATTTACAGTATTGCAGAGCACAAACTGCGCAGTCTTACAGCGAAAAATGGCAATTCTCGAATGCACTCACAGTGCATTCGAGAATAAATTACTACTGAAGATAGATGGTCGTTTACGGTTGGAGCTCCCGCGCACCCGAGATATCAGCGGCAGCGAGAGTACTCTTGACTATCTATCGAAAAGTAAACAAAGAAAGAACAATATCAGAGAATAGACATGTGAGGGAAGCCCAGGGAAGGGCGTCCTGACGGGGATGGGTGGGCAAAAGAGAAATAGACATAGCCGAGAAGTCACGAGACTCTCACCCGGCCGTCGGCGATATGTAGGACAGTGCACGCTCGGTCGAATGCCAGGTGTCGGCATGTCACTCGCTACTCCCTGGACAGCTTCACCCGCATACACAAGTGTATACAGACGCGTACAGCGCCTCTCACTGGCGACGGTGACGTCACAATGTCTCTCTAATCTTCTGTATCTGTAATGACGTCATAATGTCACTCTAATCTATCTGAATTGACATCACCACGGAAAAATGGTTCGCGGTGCCGAACCAAGACCACCCGACATGGTACAGGAGCGCCCGGCGACTTCCGAGGATCAAGCCATGCAGCAAGGAATCCGCGCACTCCCCAAGTCCACAGCTCTCTCACGCAATCTTCATCCCCCACTCCTACACGTATGTACGCGTCGCACGGTCTGCAACACACTCACCCTGTCCCTGCACCCTGCATCTATCTCCCGCCCCGCTACGTTGTGCACACCCCTCGCCCCGTCCCCCACCGCCTCGCAATACGGCGCACCCCTCTCAACTCACGACCATGACCCACGCCCCTACCACCGCCGCCCAAGATCTATCCCCTGCCTCGCCACGCTGAACACAACCCCAACCGCGCCCCCTTGGCCTTCCCCGCCCCCGCACAACCGCGTCCTCTCCTCCCAAATCTCATCCATGATGGCCCCCCGTTGCCAACCCTCGCCCCTCCGTCGCGCCCGCCGCGCAACCCGCCTGCGGACTATGGCAACGTGCGGATTTTCGCTTTGCAAGAAAGGTGTGAGGTGAGCGCGAAGGGAGGCGAAAGTTCAAGTTGGGGCGGGCAACGCGCCTTGGACGTCAGTGATCCGTGAGGGCGGCCTTTCCTGACGCGTTGCCGCACTTTTATACCAACATCTACAGCCGCTTTCGCGAGCAGGGACGTTCTGCCTCGTTGCTCGGCGTGGACAGGAGCGGTCAGGCACGCGGGCGACGAATCATTTCTAATTTTACCGGCAGAGCGCGCGGAGGTGTTTCCGTTCCCCTCGCCCCCGAGCATTGAGCGCGGAGGGAAGTTTTTTGTCCCCCGCTTCGCTCAGAAGCCGGACGCCCCTTGTGCAGAGCGCGGGCTGCTCCGCGCTTTCAGCGACACCTATGTGTCAAGCGCAAAGAGAGTTCTCTACTGCCTCTCTCTGCCTTTGCAACTAAAACGCCGTGCATCCTCGAACAGACAAAGCATGAGTCGGTTTTTGTGTTGGCGCTCTACAAGATTTGCACTTCGCGCATGAGGTGGGTACAGGATGCAACGCCGCCCCCCTCTCCCCCATGCCGTCCCGCAGCGTAACATAGCGCACCTAGAAGCGACCGCTTGTGCGCATCCCGCGGTGAACGAAGACAACCCCGCTGTCCCTATCGACCACGACTCGCAGGCCATCCAAACGCCGGCGCTGGTCCTGCAGCCCAATCTGGCGCACGCAAAGTCGACTACGCATGACGCATGCATATGGCGCAACCAAGGCAGCCAACCCTGCCGTTCCCGCAAAGTGCACTTTGCCGCGTGCCCAAGCCCCGGGTCAGGGCGTTATGTACGCGACTATGGGAAGGAATGGGCGGATCACCTCTTCGCTGCAGCCGCAGCAGCAGCAGCCGCGGCAGCAATTAAGCACCTTCGGTACTTGTATGCCCAGACTCGGTACTTTGAACGGTATGTACGGTATCCACACTCCGTGCATACAGATGCGAGGTATGAATGGTATGAATGTAATTAGTGGTGGGATGGCTGTAATGAACGTTTTTGAATGCGATAGGCGTACTGTACATGTTAAGGTGGGAGGAGGCAGATGGCCAGCCTGGGCGCGCATGTGCGGCTCATTAATTAACTGGATGAGTCCGGCCCCGACTGTGAGGGCCATTCACATTCAGTCATGTTTTTACAGCCGCGTCCACTCACTTTTCTTCATTTTCTCTGCGACGTACAGCGATGCAAAGCAACAGTCCAGCGGTCCTTTTCGGCAACAAGGTGGCACGGCGCGGCCCAATCGCGCGCCGTGCCCGCGCGGATGACGTCACAGCGTCGGCTCGTGACGTTCTGCGAAGACATCAACAAGAAGACGTGAGCGGGCTTCCGGAACGCGGCGCCACCTAAGAGAGACGGCATCCCGCCGCCCCGCCCCCGATCGGCCCACCAACCGCGCCGTTTCGGGACGTCCCCGCCTCATAAACCCCGTCTTCGTCTTTCGGCACGCCCCCCGCCCGCGTGCGCTCATGTACGGTAAACCATCTACAGGTACCCTGACACTCTGCCCCGACGCTCGCAACGCCGTACAAATACGCGCCGTCATCCGTCCCGCCCTCCTCCCCGAGCCGTACCCACTCCCGCCGCCTGCCGCGCCGCAACCGCGGCCATGAACCACCCCTCCGCCCCGCCCGCCGCGTACCCCCCGCACCCGCCCACCTCCGCCGCCATGTCCGGCCTGTACCCCTCCGCCCCGCCGCCCACGCAGCCGGGCGTTCACCACGCGGCGGCCCCGCCTGCCCACGC